GTACCGTTGTATGTGGCCCTAGGCTTAAATTATAGCCGCAGCTAAGGCAAGTGGTCCGCAGCCCTATATTTGGTGAATAAGCTTCCTGTATTCTAAGAACAGTAGCTAGATAACAGCTGCCCACTTTTTGTCAGTAAACGATACATTACTTCAAGTTATCTTTGTAATGTTACACTGTAATTTAATTACATATTTCAATTAATTACAACAACGTATGACGTTTATTAAGACTTCCAAATAAAATAGTGTTACAATTTATTTTAGATTTGTGATTTGATAACGTAATATGTGACTAGTTGGAATAGCGACGTTTGGACTGGCCTCAATGAAATGCTATACTACACAACACTAGTTTAAACGCAGTCTCAATTTATTTAATTTTATCTTATAAAATATCTTAGCGAAAATAAATGATAGAAAATAGGCAAAATCGTTTAAATGTTTTCAAGACCACGTGCAGAATACTTTACGTAATATATTTGAGAATTTTCAAGCAACGCATAGCAATATTAATTTCATAGGGATTACAAGTGGTAGCTAAATTCGATTGAAATTAAACGATAAGAAATACGTCCACCGCTACAACTTGGCCGGGAGCTGGTGTTGGCTGATTTTAATCAAATTTGGAGCAATGCTTACATTGTTTGCCAGTAAAGAAAATTATATTAAAATTAATGCATTGCGTAGGTAACCAGTTCTGAACTGGTTGCAGGAAGTGTAGTTACGCGTAGCTTATTTGAACAAACCTATTATATTTACCAAATATATTGATTGAAGCAGATGTTGGTAAAATTATTTGGTAATTCTCATTTACCCTTAATTTGAGAAAATTCCATTTTTATATTATTTTATTCGTTAGTCTCCTTGTTACACTTTACACGCATGAGATTAAGCAAATCTATATTAAGAAAAAAAGGATGAAACAGAATAATTCAGTTCTGAATGGGTTAACACAATGCACAAATTTCAATTGGGATATACTGAGATATATCGCATATTTTAGTACAATCTTTATCCCTTGAAACCAATACAGCGTTTTATTTTTGTGTCTTCCGTTCACCACGCATAAACATCCTTTCTTGTTGAATATTCCGTGAAGGATATACCTTAACAGAGAGAGAAAGCTTTATTCGTATTTCCTTCAAATCGAGGAGAAAAACCTGCGTTACATCTGCGAAGTCAATAATCTTAACACTTAGCAAAGTTGAATGAGCAATGTACAGAGTGGGTTACCGCTAGCGGCAGCGCTAATGGTCGCTGCAGACGATAAATATTCATCGCGGCAAAAACATGGAGCGCGCACGCGCCGTCGCCGGACAGCGCTTTCTTATTGCGGAACTCCGAAGTTTAGTTTGGATGTGGCATATCCCATTTAAATTTTAGTCCCTTTCCATACTCTTAAGAGGAAAGAATGGGAAATATCCTATTTATGCGCATCTTCTCTTCCTTCGATTAAGAGTAGACAACGCATTTGCAATCCCGGATATCTTTATTCAGCGGTCGATTTGACATTTCCGCGGATTCAGATAGCCATTTTCTCGTTTGCCATTTTATATATAAAAAAAATGTATATTTCTACATTCATGAAGCATATAAAGTAAACGAAATCACTAATAACAAAAGGTTTGGTAACAAAATTGTTAGATTTTAATCTTGCTGTGTGCTTTTGGAACCAGACGGTAATTTTAACACAATCGTATCATAATGGTTTATTTTAATGACAGGACCAGGATTTCTACACGATAGGATATTTGGTGAAGAAAATCGGAATGAAATGGATGATGAAACCAAGGATGATTCATGTTAGAGAATTGTCAATATAAATAATGATTAAATTAAATAAAACGTTGATAAAATAGATGGGGAGATTATAACTTCGTAGCTCGTAGTTGTTGGCTAGCTGCTCTCGATCGCCTCAGGTCAGTTACGAGAAAAACTCATGAGGCCGACACGCTTCTGTACGTGTGCAGCGCGTCGCTGGCCGGCTGCCGTGTGCTTGCACGCCACGCCCAAACCTTTTTTTCTATCTTTTCAAATAATTTGAAATCTACTTCCAGACCACATCATCTGGTATGAATGAATCATCACGGCTGATGAGTATTTACTAAGTTTATAGTGTGCACACCTTTAACTAAACTATCGCAGAACTGTTTAGTCTCGCTTTGATTCTATGAGCTTATATGTAAATTACTCGATTACTCGATTTTTAGTTGTGTAACTAAACAGTCGAATTAGCTGCATTCGACAATCCACAACAGTTGTGCTATTGTTTAGTCAAAGGTTTGTCCCCGCTATTGTACTGCTGATGGATTCGATATCGCAGTACCTACACTTTATTTCAATGTCTATCAGTAGCGCGTGATGGATTAATCCTACAAATATTTTGTGACTTACGAGGGTAAAAATCTAGATTGTGTAGTTATTGTAATGGTCTGGTGGTATTCCTCTGTTCCGGCCAAAAGAAAAAACCAAAAAGGGGAAGTACTTTGGTCGTACATATCTTAGATGTCAGAATTCTAGTCGAGTAAGCAAGTCAAGGACAAGTTATATATTACGAATAATTATATTATAGATGTAATATGCAAATCAAAAGGAAATCAATATCGAAACTTGCATTTTAAATGCCAACGAACCGGCTATCAATGAATATTGAACCCGCACTCGTACGAAAACACATAATCTATTCAAGTGGCTAGTCGTAGGGTCATGACACGAGAGACAAAGACGTGCATATTGTTAAAAAGCCACGATAAAAGAGGACGGTGCGACCACCGACGTTCAGGTCATATGTCGACAGATATGTCATAACCTGTTCGAGAGAGACGGCAATATAGAATATATTTTTAGACAAAAGGAGACGGCGAAGACAATGACGCGCAGGGTTAAAAGTCAAGCAAAGTGTCGTGGCCTGTGGGAGCGTGACGAAAATATATTTTAAATTGACGCTAGTAGGGGAGCGACATACGCGGGTCAAAAGACGAGCGTCGACAACCCTGACCCCCGAGACGAAGAGTGGGCCGGACTCAGGCGTGCTATAAAATAAGTCGTTAATAAAATATTTAAAATGCTGACTCTAGAGCTTAGCGAATAGTTCGCGATCTTCAATAACACACCTTTGCTCTAAGTGCAGCCATTAAAATAAGTGACCGCTTTGTCTGGACCATTTGGAACGTAAATCGTCTCTGTATGTATACCGTATTGTTATACTCAATGACAAAGTTTCACCTCGACAATATTTACGGCGACGCAGTTAAGTGAGCTTTAAGTTATAGTGTACGTATCTTAAAATACAACTTCATTGAATTCAATACATTGTTAAACGTAGAAGAAAATGTAACATCATTATAATGGAGAAGAAATAATTTGTTTGAAACTGTTAAAAATGTAATAAAACATAAAGATATTTTGCTCGTCTTATCTTATCTTTTTATAGCTTTTTTATATTGATTAAGACCTCATTATAATCATATTAAAAATGATTTAAATAGAATTATTTATAAAGTTACAAAATTTGATTTAATACAATTGTGGTCGATCGCCTGGTTCCGACACTAGGCTCTAGGCCCGTCTTGTAGGAGCCAGGGTTCTTCCGTCTTAGTGCTATTTTTTTTTTAGAACACTAATATATAATGAGATCTCGATACAAATAATCAAAACAAAATAGATAATTGTATAAAGAAAATTTAATAACACAGATATTTAACATTACAAAAACATTAAAATGCGTATGACATTATTTGTAAATAAAAAAAAAAATTGTGCGATTTTTCTTAAATTTTAGATCCGACCCTGGTCTCCTTGAAAGCTAATGAATCGGGACTGGCGGCATAATTAAACAGTTCGCGACAATCGTCCTCGGCCGATGTTACACAAAATAAATTTTTTTGACACACTAAAGTGATATGCGAGTTAATGTGCATTTGTCTGTACATCCCCTTTACCTTTAGTGAGTGTGACGTATTGTGTTTGTAAACATTGACCATTTCTAATTTTGTTTGAATGGTGATTGAGATTATAGGATTTTGCTGCCAAAATGCTTACGCCAAAGTTTCATTTTTCAAGTAAATTATTGGAGCTTCTTACAAAAGGTATTGTTTATTTTGTAACCGTTATATTTAGTGATGTTGCTAAGTGACGTTTCAACAATTGTGGAAGTTTTTTCATTTGGGATTGATTTCGATTCTTCTAACGTTTAGAAATGCCTTTATGAACTAGTCTAAGTTTTTCTGTTTTTTTGTATGACGTAAAATGATTATTCTTCACTTCAAAGATCACCACTGATAATTCTATGTAACGAAAACAATAAGTTTATTTTAAAATTGAACTACTAAATTATCTCTTTATATTCCGGCTCGAAATTACTGAACTTTAGCAAACCTTTTCTCTTCGGCCTTTAATATACTTATTTTTAAAACCAGTTCTAAATTGCTACTGTGCTTACTTTAATCTGCTATAAACAAACAGAGTGGAATATAAAATCAATTAGTGACCTCCTTCCGAAGTACCAGTCAGCATTTAATATGACATTGAAAAGGTATTTTAATACAATAAATTGAATACAATATTCTCTTCACCTCCAACGGTACTTTCTGTCTGCTGTAATTAAAATTTAAACGTTAATGTCAACCAAACAAATTGTGAACCGCGACTTTGTCTGTTTTCTCAAAAATCTGCATCATGAGAATTCGATTTTTGATTTTGAATTTTTACTAGATAGCTTGAACCTAGATCTTCTTTTTATAGTAAATTTCATTTTACTGAATGATCGAAAAAAAAATATGAATTCGTAAATCTAACGATTGTTGATATTAAGAAATTAGCAACATAAGTATGGTTTGGCAAACGAATGACTCTTCTATGAGACTGCATCTTTAAAATCGTTATCTAACTGTCGTAATAAAAGTGAAATTCAGCTACAAAAGAATCAAATATGTTATCGATACAGACGGACAATTGAATTGTCTGAAAGCGGTCTTTATTAAGAAGTGCTCTGTTTCCAGGTAGTTCGCAGCCAGCCATCGGTTTAGCCAGCACAAGTAACGGTAAGACAGACCGCGATCGGATCTCAGCGAATGCATTTCGTTGTGACGCCCGCCTCCGCAACTGGAGCAATAAGTGAAATGTTACATCGTTACGACTTGTCGTTCACACGATAAACTTTGATGTTTTAAAATAAAGGATGTGAAAGTGCAATGTCAATAACGTCAAAGACTCGTAGACTCAAAATGTAACTGTTTCTTGTTCCAAACCTTCCTTGTACCGTAACTCAAAAGGAATTCCGACGCTTCATAAAATTATCGAATGCGAATAATGTAATTACGCAATTTGGTTTTCTTTATTCACCGTACATAAGTGAATCTTCATGACACATACACCTGGTTGCAGTCGTAGTACCTGCAATATACTTAGAAGGGCCGCACAACTTTAACTAAATTATCGCACAACCGTTGTGCGATTGTAGATTGTTTAGTTGCACAATCAAAAGTGAGTAGTGTGCGCACATCCGTATAAGCTCATAGGAATTAAAGAGCGACATAACAGTTGTGCGATGGTTTAGTTAAAGGTGTGCGCGCGCATTTAATTTTCTTCTTAATGTTTTATTAAAGTGTTGTAAATACTTAATTGGCTTTTTGTTACGTTAGCAAGTCTTCTGATTACATTTCTGCAACTTTAGTAAATGTTGTAAAAAACTTAAACAGGAAATTAATTGTAAATAATATATTAACGAATTACAGAAATTCAAGAATTTTTTAACATCAAAAGTTGTCTAAATCAATAATTAAATGCTTAACTAACATTACTTTACCTATATTTGTTAATTGTTTGCTCTTATGTCATAGCAGTTAGGGTATTAAGAGCGTGCGCACAACTCAAACTAAACTATCGCACAACTGTTTGGTCTCGCTTTGATTCCTATGAGCTTATATGGAGGTCCGTACACTACTCGATATTTAGTTGGTCGGTTGTTTCGCAGCCAACTCAACTGTTTAGTTGAGTTAGCGAAACAACCGACAATCGCATAACAGCAGTTTTGCTTCATCCTTCTTGTCTTTCAAAGATGTTCATATACTCGTATATCTATAAAATCAATTTTAATTTCGCATGGATGATTAAGTACAAATAACAAGAACGTGTTTTTATATCTTAATGATGTTTAAAATTATATGATTTAAATTGCTATATCTTATAGGGCGATCGCCCACAACGAACCTTTCACCTTCTCGCTTTTGCGTGTCAGCCTCCTTGCAATCCATATCTCAGATTGGTTTTCAATCCAGACTTGTTTTGCGACACGCAAAGATTTTTATTCCAGTTTTACGTTTATATTATCACTAGCTTTCGCCCGCGTCTCCGTCTCCAATGAAAAAAGTGAATAGCTTATGTCTTTTCCAGGCTATCAAATACATCTATACCAAATTTCATCGAAATCCGTCAAGCCGTTTACGTTATAAACTCTAACAAAAATATATCTAAACTTTCGCATTTATAATACTAGCTTTCGCCCGCGACTACGTATGCGTGGAATTAAAAAAAAAAAAAACAAAAGCAAGTAGCCTACGTGTTCTTCCAGACTATACTCTAGATCTATGCCAAATTTCATTAAGATCCGTTAAGCCGTTTAGGCTTCAAACATCAATCCATCTAGACTTTCACATTTATAATATTAGTAAAAATAGTTTGATTCATTTTTCCAAAAGATACATAATAGGCCAACTATCTGAAGATCATATTTTCAGAGGAAGTATTGGTGCCATTTTTTTTCATCAATCAAACAAGGTTTCAACAAAGCTGATAACTACTAAGTTTCTCGTTCAATGTCTTATTGGTCCATCAATCGGCATCCGTAGTTGCGAAGTTATATACGGTGCAGTGAGATAACATCGGGCTAGTCAGGCCGCGGCTACAGTAACCACGTAATCTTGATCTTAGGTAGTAACTGTGCTTCGCAGATCGTTCCATACAAATTGTATGGCATATCTATTTCTAGTTTTGGGCGTAGTTAACCTTATACGATTTGTATACTCGCTCCCGCTTTTAGACTTTTTCGACGCTTAGATTGTTGAATAAGCATTTAGACATTCGAAATTGCTGAATATGTTGATTAAATATTTGATAGAATGCATACAATTATAAGGTAAAAGCCAATCTCATAAATATTATCTACTTTAGCTTTGTAGAATAAACCAATTGGCAGACTTGGTTATAAAAAAATCTTTTTACATACATATTGTTAGGAATAAAATTAGTACCGTGCTACAGAATTGGCGCAACTCTAGATTATCGGCATAAACGGCACGTCCCTAGCTGACAGCTGTCAATGTCACTAGAAGTATGGATAGATTGGCGCGTAACTTGAGTCTTGACGAGAAGTATTGCTCTGAGTTAAAAGCGACAGTATCAATTAAATAAGTTGTCTAATAATATAGAACTTATATTTGAATTTTCTCATGTAATTTTCTTCATGTTTCCAAAGCACATCCTTAAATGTGTTACCATAACTGTTAAGTTCTAAAAACATGCATTATTTAAGCGTCGGTACGTTTAAAGACGCGGGATCGTGGAGTTACAGTCGTTGATTCAGAGAAGACATAATAATTTGGCGTCTTCTTGAACGTCAGATAAGAGGACTTATGACCTTAAGGCCATGGCCTAAGTGACGTCAGGATGCTTCCTTTTATGTAGAATCATCTTTTTATCGCAGTATCTAATTTGCGGCCTTAACGAGTAAGGAACGACTATTACGAGAAGTTATGAACGAAATACCGACGGTAAGCTGATTATTTTAAACGGAAGACTCTTGTAACTTTTTAACAATCGTTATCAACTTGGTGTTTTTCTATAAAGGGTCGGCCCAGTATTTCTTTCGTAAATCTGGATCAGTCTCAAAATTGAATTTCTTTCTTCTAAGCTATATCCTCTTTCACATTTCGTCATCAGACGACACCACAGACCGCCGGGTACCATCCTCACCATCTCGATGGCTGGCATGCCACATCCGTGCGGTTTTCGCAGAACTTTCTGCCTCGCACAGCCGCGTTGTGGAACGGCCTGTCCTCGGCGGTATTTCCAAACCAATACGACTTAGGGTCCAAGAAAATGCGATCCTCTCATTCCCTCAAAGGCCGGCAACGCATCTGTTTGTTCCTTTGGTGTTGCGGATGTCCATTGGCGTCCTTGACCACCTCGGTGTTCTTGCCGCCCGTTTGCCCCCTTTTATTATTAAAAAAAAACATACTCAATTTTTAATTCCTTTACATTCATACAACTTGCAGATGTGTGTTACCTTGTGTGTTATATTATTTCTTTCTTAAAAGAAATTTGTTGTCTAGAAATCAACGTTTCTGATCTCGCCTTTTTATTTTAATTTTGTGCTAATTGGTGAGCTGCGGCAATATGTTACTTGTTTTAATTTAAAATTCCTCCTCGTCACTTCGTCACGTTTTACAAAAAAATACTGCATGTTACTGATCAGGTCTAAATGAGACTTGAAACCTGTCTGGGATTTTTGAAATGCTTTTCAAGTTTGACTTTCTTTTTTGAAATCAAAAAATATGTTCCTGGAATCGCTGATGCATTTTCAATGTTTGAGACAAAAGTAATTGTAATTTACGGATTTTTTATCTGTAATTTTTCATATATTTTATATTTCAAAACTTTAATTTAACTCAGTTGTATTTTATTAGTAAACTAGCTAACGCCCGCGACTCCGTTTGCGAGCAATTAAATAAAAACAAAAATAAGAAGCCCAGGTGTTCTTCCAGACTGTCCACTTCGTCTATGCCAAATTACATCGAGATCCGTGCAGTCGTTTGGAATACAAATTCTGACAAACATCCATCCATCAAAACTTTCGCATTTAAAGTATTAGTAAGACTAGTAAATGTAGCAGATAATTTGTAAATTTTTTGTAAAGAAAGAACAACTTAAAAATATCATTTTCAAAAGATTGGTAAGCAGCAAAGCTTTCATTGCATTACAGAAACTGTACATACACGTGCATATTGATTAAGTCATATGCATGCGGAGACACAGCGATAGTTAAATATGAAACACCATAATCGTAGCGTTGTGAAATCGGTCAAATTTTAAAAACGATAATTTCGAGGTTTATTAGTGCAGAATTTTGCAGGGCCGCTCAAATTATCGATAATGGCAGTCAATCTTTGGGTCGGGGCGCGGGTGCTCTGATTTCCAGTGGGCCCGGGCCATCCGGCGGCAGGCAGCGCGGGGCAGGTTTTAATTTTAGCTATAAATCATGGGCAGCCTTTCCCCGAAGTTGTGCGGAGGCGGCCGCGGCCGAGCGCCCCCGACCGGTTACACTCCAACCAGCCT